GGGCGAACGATAATATCCTTATGAGTCTTTAATAATAGGTTAGAAATGCCGTCCCATCCTGCAGAGCATTCATTTTTAAGATTCTGAATTAGACCACCAACCTCCCGCTCATCCGTTTCAAGCAAAACAAACGAGTTTGCCTTACTCACGCCGTCTAAGCCCGGATTGTGGAAAACTTGGTGAGAGTTGCTGACCAATTTCTCGCTAATATTGACAAAGAACCTGTTTACACTATCGACTGAAAGATCCGGATTTGCAGATATTTTTAAAAGCTCCTGCGCCGGATTTTTGATTTTCTTACTATAAGTTATGTTTCGAATAGTCTCCCATATTTTTTTATTATTTTTTCCAGCTTTATTAATTTGATCTTTATCATATTCTCGTTTGAGTTTTTTTATTAAGTTATTACAGAAATTTCTATAACGAGAATAAGACAATTTAAGCGTATCATTTGTAGGTTGTTCTTTACTTCTAGCATGTAATTTGTCTCTGAACCTTATGCATCTCAGCACGCCGGGTGTTATCCATAGCTTTATAATTCTCTTGCTTCTAGAAACCGAGACAGTCTTTGTGTTACGTTCCACCGCAGATTTTATTTGATTTATTAAATAGACCATTTGAAAATTCGGATCAAATGAACTGTAAATTGGTTCAAAATCTATATTCATAAGATCCATATTAAGACCATCTACATTAACCTTGTTTGTATTGCAAAGTACTTCCTTTCTATTTGGTTGATAACATATTTGACTTCAATAAAATGTGATCTAAACAATTTCCGCTTTGATCTCTAGTTACCAGCGTGTGAGTAGGTAAAAGTCCATGAAAGGCCAAGAGGTTTAAATAATTTTCAGCGTTAGTATCTAGTTTATTGGAATTTATAGCTAAATTAATATCACCAGCTAAAATAATGTTTTTAAATGTATATAATTTTTGTAATTGGGTACCGATTGATGAAATAAACGAGTCTATTTCATGTTTTGAAGCAAAAGCCGGTGATCTATATACCGCCAAAATTGCCGTATCTTGTCCTTACGTGATAATGAGACAATTTCCCTTTTGAAACTCAGGTTCCTCAACCGAGAAATGCAAGTTATTTCTAATATATACCACCACTCCATCGTTTTTATTAAAACTAACCTGAGAAGAGAACGATGAGTAGTTGTCCAGAACGGGAATAATTGGCGCATACGAAAGCCAGCATTCAGTGAGAATCAAAACATCAAATTTTGTTTTCAAGCGATTTAATAGAACCTCAAAATCGGAAAAATTACGACTAATGCTACGAATATTTTGTGTCAGCAGTGATAATGAAGCTTTATGGGTTGGTACGTGTGTAATAAAATCATCAACCGCACAGGGTACCGAATAAAAGAGATCATTATCTAAGCTATTGCAATATGCATCCATATTAACAGCTATAAGAAAGCGTAAAAAGTTCTTTATACGTTAAAGCTGGGATAAGCTTTGATAGATAAGCAAACAAGCAAAAGAGCATTTCAAAAGTATTAAAAAATCTTTGAAATTTGGTAATGAGATTTTTTTTGTATATATTTCTAAGACTATATAGTGTAAAAAAATTCACCATATAAAATTCATCCGTCACCTCCAAAACACCACGCATAATGTTTGGATAAATAGCATGTCGTGGGTACAGAATGTGCCATGGGGTTAGTACAATAAAAACAGGTAAGTTTGATTTGTGTATAAAGAAACAAAAGTAGGTTACAGTATGTTTGAAGTGTGAGTATTTGCAGTATACGGTGTGTGTAGTTGTAGAATGTGATTGTGGTTTGCATGCATTAATAAATAAATAATTATGTATGTTAATTTGTATGTTAAACAGTATAAGATTCAAAGCTACATCAAATAATGAGCTATAAATGCTATTATATGATAGAGACAATATTAAATTTAAGCCTATATTAAAAAATAAGCAGCAAAAGTTAAACGATAAAAGACATTTAATAAAAATTAGCAAAAGGTACCTGATTTCTACAATTAGTCATTCTACATTAATGTTGGCGAGGTCACTTTCATTGTTGATCCGGATGTAGGGATCCCCTTCTTTTTTTCGCAAATAAATTTTACCTTGTGAAATCCAACAAAATGAAAAGGTGTTAATTTTTGCAAATTCTCTTGCTGCAAAGAAAAGTTTCTTTTTTTGAAATGTAAGATTTTCTGAGATAAATACTGGTCGTGAGGGGCAGTCCAGGTGTAAATGGCTGGTACTCAATCTGTTGCTTTTGTGCTCATTATTATATTTCCTAACTGCTTTTAATACTTTTTCCCTCAGCAGCGCACTGGTCAGCTCCACAACAATTGGCTTATTATTTTCATTCCTCGTATTAATACGGTAGATGTTACGAATTTCCGTTAAACCAATAGGCGCGCCCACCAGTTTGGCAGCCTCCTGTATAATGGAAATTAAATTTTCTTTGTTCTCCTGTTCCCGTTTCCATGATGAAAAAAGCTCCATGAATTCATTTCTAAACATCAATAATTCTTCCTCCTCACGCTTACGCTTGCGGGTGGTTGAAATTTCTGCAGAACTGGAGTTTTTCAGTAAAAATAGAAAATTGTGGGAGAGACAGAAATATTTGGCCATTTTAGATTTATTTCTTAATTACTGCAGGTATACACCACTTAATAAAAAAAAAAATGTGTGCTTCTATGAAACTACAATACATACAACTTCGAACTTGCACAATGAAAGTGAGACTTTTTTAAACAAAAAGATTCAGTTGCATTGTGCAAGTATGATAAGGAGACGAAAATATATTATTGCTTACGAAATTAAATTATTGCTGCCTTGCAGCTTAAGAATGGCTGGACGAATTTCGACGCTGTTAGGGCCGCGGTAGCATAATTGGTCATTGCAGTCGCCCGGATAGCGAAGGGTGCGGGTTCGAGTCCCGTCTGCTGCCTGGTCCGCGTGGATTTTTTTCTAGTTATATTTTCATTAGATTTAAACATCAAGCAATTACATGCTTAAAAAATAAAAAATATAAAAAAAAATATATAATATTATTTCCTTTTTACCCCAGCAAAATAAATAAATAATAAATTTAATTAAATGATTTTTTATTTTCAATAACAAATAAATTAGTTTGTTACGGGGTCTATCTCAAATTCGAAACTATAATAAATAATATTCACGACCAACCCGTAATTTTTGAGAAAAAAATGTTTTTACAGTTTTACGAATAAAAAGTGTTGCCAAGGCATTTTTTATTTGATTTTGAACTATTTGTGTTCTTTATAAAAGCATAGAAGGCGTTGTTTTGTGCTTACAACACAGAATATACGCAATATTGAGTGCACATGTAGCATGTTTGGAGGTCCAATTGTGACTACAGCGAATTGTGGTCATGCATCACAATTTAAGCGGATCACTTTTGAGCAGCGAGTGCCATATCTACCCTTTTTGTTTTAATCTAAGATAATGTCATATATGCTGTAAATACTGAAAAC